CAACACCGACACCCACAGAAGCAACTGAGATAGCGATTAGTTAGCAATCAAGTAACCTTAGTTACCTGGTTACTTAGTTACCTGGTTACCTGGTTACTTAGTTACCTGGTTACTTAGACACCCACAGAAGCAACTGAGATAGCGATTAGTTAGCAATCAAGTAACCTTAGTTACCTGGTTACTTAGTTACCTGGTTACCTGGTCACTTAGTTACCTGGTTACTTAGACACCCACAGAAGCAACTGAGCTGAGATAGCGATTAGTTAGCAATCAAGTAACCTTAGTTACCTGGTTACTTAGTTACCTGGTTACTTAGACACCCACAGAAGCAACTGAGATAGCGATTAGTTAGCAATCAAGTAACCTGATAGTTGCATAATCAGTCCTATTTTAGTAAGCCATTTTAGTAAGCTAGTTTACCACAGTAACCAGTTTCCGACTTGGATACTAATCAGTAATGTGGTTGCTAATTTCAAACTTAGTAACTAAGTATTATTCTCCATTTTTGCACCCCTCGAAAATCCAAGAACTGGAGTGTATTAAAAGCGTTCACCGTTAGAATATCAGAAATAAGCAATCTCCGCTACCTGGATCGCATGGTACAACTACACTTATCCCCCTTATTTCTGATGTCTCTTTAACGAATGCGATTTTTATTCTTCACATGTGGAAATCTTAAACAAAAAACCAGTTTGTCGCCCATCAAAACGTAGAACCAGTTCAGCACGAAACCTCACCTTGTTTTACAACTCATTAGCAGTTCAAGGGCCTAAATTGTGAAATGCTATGCCCTACCATCTGAATGTAATTCAAGATATCGAACAAAGATAAGCCGCCGAGTTCATGTAGTCTCTCTCACGACTAGTTTTCACTAATTAAACAACTCAACAACGAACAGAGTTATTGATACCGTCAGTACACTGACCGTTACCAACTGGAGGGTATCCAGTAAACAGACATATTACCATCTGGTGGGCATCCAGAAATCAGTTAACTATCCATCTGGGGAAAAATCCAGAACAAAACACATCATAAAACAGCGTCATGACGAAAAGAGGATGCTTATTTGCCGGTCAAAAAAAGTTGAAACAGCAGATCCCACCTGGAAAACAGGGCTCAACGATCAGAAAAAACCTAAATAAAGGCAAGGAATGTTACTACACATCAGTTAAACAAATTAATCTACAAAAGAAAAAGATAGCCTGTCAAACATATATTAATGAATTAAAATCACATGAAATAATGCTTGTACAAGAACCGTACGCCATTAAAAATAAAATCTGTTACGTTCCTAAAACACACAAAGCATTTAGCCCACACTATAGAGAACAAAAAATAAGAACCGCAATAATTTTACCTATTGACTTAGCAAGAAAATCATTCGTACTCACAACATTTACGAATAGAGATATCATAGCGGTAAAATCAAATACACACACAAAGAAGGGCATAATGTGGTGCTCGTTCTACATGGCCATGGACAATAATATACAAGACATCGAACCTGATGCAATAGATAAATTCTCGAGACTAGTAGAATATACAAATTCTAAAAACATTCCAATGATAATGGGAGCTGACTCAAACGGTCACCATATACTATGGAACAGCTACAAAACAACTCCTAGAGGAAGGATAATATGTGAATTAATAAACAAATATAATCTCAATGTAGAAAATAAAGGAAACATTCCAACCTTTACCAACACTAGAGGATTCAGGAGTGTAATAGACATTACAGTCACTAACAAAAGTGCAAATAAACTCATAAAAAGCTGGGAAGTGGATCAGAAACCATCACTATCAGACCACAAAATGATATCGATCAAACTAGATATTGGAAATCACTCTACTTCATATAAGAGATGCACGGACAATATAAAATGGGATGAATATAAGGAAGAAGTAAAGAAAGCATTAGATAAACAACCATTCAGATATAAAGTAAGCGGATCACCACAGGAAAGAGAGGATAAAGACACAAAATTTATCAACAATATACTAATGAAGGTATTCAATGAAATGTGCCCACTCAAAAAAATAATACATAAATCGAAAATACCTTGGAATAAAGAAGTTGATAAAACCAAAAAGAAAGCTCTGAAACAAAAAAGTAAAACAATTAAAGCTTCAACTGAAGAAAAAAGAAACGTTCTCATAGCTAAAGAGAGCGATTACAGAAGAGAACTACAAAAAATAGGAAGACAAGGTTGGAAAGATCACTGTTCAGAAACCAAATCAAAAAGTAAACTAGCTAAATTCCCAAAACAGAGGAATAACGAGTGGGAAAGACTAAACTGCCTTAAACTACCGAACGGGGAATTCACTAAAACTACAGAAGAAACCCTGACATTCTTAGCTGATACACACTACCCTGAAAATGACCAACACAGACAGGTGACGATCACAGAGTCACAAGACCAAATAGAAGATGACGTCATATCAAATGATTCATACAGAAGAGCGATTAAAACACTTAAATCAAAGAAAGCTCCAGGACCAGACAAAGTTATGAATGAAATGTTAAAAGCGTGCAGTGACATATTAGAATTACCACTCATACATATATTCAAACGCTGTTTAAAACACTCAATCTCACCGACTCAATGGAAAATAAATAAGGGGGTAATCCTGGCAAAACCAGAAAAGGATGATTATTCCAACCCCAAAGCATTCAGAATCATAAGTTTAACATCGAACATTCAGAAACTAATGGAAAAAATGATTTTAATATACCTAGAAGACAAGGTGGGTATTGACAAAAAACTAACAAAGAACCAATATGGATTCAGGAAGAGAAAAAGTACACAAGCTGCGTTGCACAGATTGACAAATAGAATAGAAGAAGCTATATCAAATGGACAATATGCACTGGGAATATTTTTGGACGTAGAAGGGGCATTCGATGCAATCAAATTCAGTTCAATTAGAGAAGCTATGGAAAAAATAAAAATCCCAGACAAGATCATAAACTGGATCTATATCATGTTAACAGAGAGGGAAATAGAATTAGAACTACACGGTTTCACACTAAAAAGAAAAGTGTATAGAGGATGCCCTCAAGGAGGAATCCTCTCACCCCTACTATGGAATCTCACACTAAATACACTATTAGCAAAAGAAGAGCTTGATGAAACGTTTATACAAGCTTTTGCTGACGACCTAGCTATCTTGATACAAGGGATAGACCTTTACACAATAACAGGTATTGCGAAAGCTTATCTTAAAACAATTGACAAGTGGTGCATAAAAAACGGAGTAAAAATAAGTGCCTTGAAAACTAAAACAGTCCTATTCACCAATCCTAGGAAGAAATATAAATACATTCCTATCGAATTAAACAATACAAAGATGGAATTATCAGACAAAGCGAAATACCTAGGAGTCATCCTAGACAATCACCTAAGATGGGCCCCTCATATAAACAAGAAGTGCCAAATTGCCACTAAATTACTGATGACATGCAAAAAATATGTCGGGAAGAAGTGGGGACTGACCCCAGACAAAGTTAAAAATAAAGAAATCATCAAAAAATATTTTATGAAACAAAAACTACGTCTTCCCACAAAAAACAGAGATCAAATTAGATATTTAACACAAATAATTTCAGGACAGAACAAACTAGCGGCGAACATACACAAAATAGACAGGCTAGTTGTTCCATACTGTAGACACTGTCCCAGGGAAAGAGAAACAACGGAACACTATCTGGCAAAGTGTCCAGCATACACAGAGGCAAGACAAAACAGTTTCAATATAACGCACACAAATCTTCTCAACATTATAGAAAACTTCAAAGCTACCGAAATAATAAGCTACATAAGAAGAACAGGCCGGATGGAAGATGAATTCGTCTGCTACTATATAGAAGACTAGATCACGGATGGCGCAGGTCTGAAAATTTGAAATTAGCGCCCTATAACTAGCAAAAATACACCCAGCGCAATAAAAAGCAAAAAATTGTCACAAATAATAAAGCGCGCGTCGAAAGACGCGCACAAAAGAATAACAAAGGAAATGGGAGAATTACATCATAGGCTCAGGCATGCCTGGTAGGTTCCTGTCAGCCCACTAGAATGACAGGGGGCAGCCTGTTCTATCGAGTACCCGGGAGAACATCCAGGCATGGGTGGTGTTCTCCCGTGAACGAGCATTATGACAGTTTCCCTCACGGGAAACGTCGCTCACCAGGCTTTATCCTCTGGAGGGGCGGGATCACTAGCCCATGCCAAGTGACCCAAACCTACTGACACCTACAACCAGAGGAACCCCAATAGACGTTAGTCACTAATGACGGACGTAGCCTCCCAATAGGGAGGTAAAGTGGGTGCCCCAACATTTAAAAAAAAAAAAAAAAAATGTAGTCTCTCTCTAGTAAGCTCACCAAGTTCATGTTGTCTCTCCTTGATAACCGCTAATCTGAATCAGGGGATACACTCCTTCAAATAGGAACTCTCTGATGTGCTGGCGCAATGACTCATTAGCAAGATTTTACAATTAATTACACCACAATTTCAGTCGTAAGCCTGGGACAACGTTACTACAACCTTACACTATTACGGCGTACTACTACTACTAGGAGACGTAGTAACACTATTTACAGCTCCGTCTAAATAAAAGGTCCAGATACAAGGCGGTAACTAGTGGCGTTTACCACCTACAGTAGTGCGCCTACACTCTACAGTAGTGCACCTTCAGTAGTGCACCTACGTTTATTACAGGAAATGAATGCATATGCCATATTGCAAATGGCTAGTTGAAATACTACGCACTGCTACTCAATGTAAACAGCCTTAGTTTGCCGGAGCTACACATCCCTTCTACCATTTCAAGTCAGCTTATTTGCAGAAGCAACCAAACAACCGAACAAACGGACAAACCAACAGAAATTGAACAAACAAATGCGAGGAGTTGAAATAGGTCACTGGTGGTGTGATGAATTGAAATAGGTGATAGGTCACTGGTGGTGTGATGAAGTAGTCAATGACGCACACGATATCTAATATAGTACAATTAGGTATAAATTCTATAACTGTCATGGTATAAATCTGTCAAAACTCCCCCACAATACATAGAATACATTACTTAGAATCTCCCCCACAATACATTAAATTACTTAGAATCTCATCCCTCAATACATTGACAACAGGTAAAGGACTACTTATTGTTGAACTTTAAAATTATCTTAATTAGCTGTTTTTGGGTTCCCTGTAATTTAATCAAAGAAAGAGCTTACCACCTGTGGGATAAGAAAATAGCGGAAATAAAATTATCAAATTTATAGTTCCTCCACCGCTATCAGTTGATTAAGCTAAAGAGAATATTGCAGTGCTACCGAAAATATAATTATAGATACTGTAAGTTATTTAATTTTAATTAACGTATATTTAAAATAAGCTTAAAACCAAATGTTACTCACCCTTTAAAGCTTTTTAACTAAGCTTGTGTAGCAAGTATATAATAAGGAATTATATAATTTTCAAGGAATAGTTTACTTTCCACAAATAATTGAGAACATTAACTAAAAAGTAACAAAAAGTTACTGCAAGTCTAACAAATGTCATCTTGACAGTTTTTCATTATAACTATATATATTACGCTAATTTTTAAATAAAGCAAGGAGGACTAGGTAGGTTCATAAAAACAAAATGTTATTGAATATCTTCCAGTATGTTCTTATCTGTTGATCCTTAGGTTCAATATCCGATATGGCCGATAGTTGTGGAGAAGGCATTTGAACTCTGTGATTTGTAAGCAAATTCCTTCGATATTTATGTTCGTAGTTTTTACGAACCTACCTAATGAGGACGTTATTGCAAAGATAAGGGCGACCTTTTGAAGACTTACCATATCACATTAAAGTTACTGTTATAAATTATAATTACTGTTATAAATTAGCGAGTTTTTAATAGTTACACCATAGTACTATAAAATTAAAATGAAATTAAGTTATAAATAACTTTTATCCAACAACTAACCCAAACTATTTCAAACAGTAAAATTATCTGACAACAAAATTAAATAAATTTGGGTTGGAAGAACAAATATTGTGCAGAACATGCAGTTTGGAAAACAGTTACTATGGTAACATACGGTGTTGAACACAGTTACCATGGTAACATACGGCGTAGAACACAGTTACAATGGTAACATACGGCGTAGAACAGTTACCATGGTAACACACGGCGTAGAACACTGTTACAATGGTAACTTGCAGTATAAAGTTAAGTATTCAAATTATTTGAAAGTGTGTTGCCAGTTTTCAGATTGCCCATAATTATAACTGAGCCCAGCTCAAGCACTGTCATCGTGTGAGTACTTCCTCAACAGTTACCATGGTAACACAAGTAACTGTTGGTAACCACACATGGTAACACAAGACCCTTTACTGGTGTCGAGATATCTCTGAAAAAGTGAATTGTTATCATGAAGTACACTTCTTTACTGGTGGGGAGGCAAATTAACAATCCGGAGGGGGGGGGGGGGGGGGCGGAGGGGGGGGGGGGAAGGGGGCATCACGAGAACTCATTAAATAAGAGACGCGAATTAGTAAGGAAATTTAGACACGCTAATAAATTTGTTTTAAAGAAATATCCATTACAATGTCCCAAGGCTTAATTACAATGCAGTTGAAACCTAGTTGTAATAATAAGGAAAGTACCTGCGATGATGACGGAGACTATCATAAGAATACAAGATCCTCCCAACATGATACCACAGACTCCCGGAGCCAGTTCTATCACATCTATACCAGTCAGACTCAGACCAAACCGGGTCAGATCAATGTCCGCCTGGAATATGTGCTTGTTAGTAGTTACTATGGTTACTAATTACTATGGTTACTATAGTTACTGTAGTTACAATGTTGCCTGCAATACATGCTATTTACTACGGTTACTAATTGCTATGGTTACTATAGTTACTATAGTTACAAATATCACTAGTAACTGTTTAGATATTGGCCACTAGATTACTAACTAGCAACTAAACTTATAACTGGTAACCAGGGAAACTAAAGCTATGGTTACTATAGTTACTGTAGTAGTAGAAACTAACCTCAACTTTTAGCGACTGCTCCACTTTTCTGCCGATACTCTCGTTAAAATACTTTTGCGCGTCTGTCTGCATTGTCATGGAAACGCCCAGAGCAACAGAAATAGAGACAGCTGAAGCAGATCAAAGTTACAGGTGGAAAGTTAAAACAGTGGAATTGAAGAAAGCAGAAATATCATAAGAATAGTGTTTTAACATTTTGATAGTATTAGTAATATTGTTATTACAATAATAGTACAGTATCATTAGTAGTATTAGTTTACAATACTGGCAGCAAGACAAGTAGTTACTATGGTTACTGGCAGCAAAGCAGCAAGAATTCATGCCACCAGACGTCATACAAGTAGTTTCGTTACTGTTACCATAGTAACGCTAATACTGATACAGTGTAGCAAGACGAACAGACATGCAAGAGTGAAACCAGCATTCTTAAAATGAACACATGACGTCACACCATGTGATATGACGTCATAAACACGTCACACGTGACGTCATGAATATTAGAACCAGCAGTATTGATATTGTGAAGTTGAAAGAGTGAAAGTAAGATACAGCTGTCATGCTACCACGACATAAGTATACATAGTACCTTGGTGGTTGTCAGGGTAACATGATTACATTAGTTGTCGGGGTAACATGGTTACATTAGTTGTCGGGGTAACATGGTTACATTAGTTGTCACTTGTCAGGGTAACATGATTACATTAGTTGTCAGGGTAACATGGTTACATTGGTTGTCAGGGTAACATGATTACATTAGTTGTCAGGGTAACATGATTACATTAGTTGTCGGGGTAACATGGTTACATTAGTTGTCAGGGTAACATGATTACATTAGTTGTCAGGGTAACATGGTTACATTGGTTGTCAGGGTAACATGATTACATTAGTTGTCAGGGTAACATGATTACATTAGTTGTCAGGGTAACATGATTACATTAGTTGTCAGGGTAACATGGTTACATTAGTTTTCAGGGTTACATGGTTACATTAGTTGTCAGGGTAACATGGTTACATTGGTTGTCAGGGTAACATAGTTACATTAGTTGGTACATGGTAAAAAAGTGGAATAATGTTTTGTATCTTGGATGTGCGATCATTCACAAAACAATTAATTGAAATTCAGAGTCACATGCTTAAATTTATGAAGTCTAATTAAAATACAATCTTGGTTAGATAAGGCTGGGACAACTACACCCCTACAGGGGTACACCCCCCTCTTCCTACAGCCCTACAGGGGTACACCCCCCTCTTCCTACACCCCTACAGGGGTACACCCCCATCTTCCTACAGCCCTACAGGGGTACACCCCCCTCTTCCTACAGCCCTACAGGGGTACACCCCCCTCTTCCTACACCCCTACAGGGGTACACCCCCTCTTCCTACAGCCCTACAGGGGTACACCCCCCTCTTCCTACAGCCCTACAGGGGTACACCCCCTCTTCCTACACCCCTACAGGGGTACACCCCCCTCTTCCTACACCCCTACAGGGGTACACCCCCTCTTCATACACCCCTACAGGGGTACACCGCCCCTCTTCCTACACCACCCCTCTTCCTACCACCCTACAGGGGTACACCGCCCCTCTTCCTACACCCCCTCTTCCTACACCCCTGCTACTCTAGTATGTGTCCTGTAAATCAATCAACCAATTGATCGTTATCCTCAAAAGTACCTTGAATGGTATTTAAAATTAATCATTCTGTATAAGATTTCGTCAACCCATGCGAATAAATGTTTAAACAATGTTTAGTTATAGATATTTAGTTATTTAGCTGGAACTCAGTTGCAGTAAAAAAGGTATTAGGATCAATAATTAATCAATAAATTAAATCGATAAATAGGATGATTATCCGTGTAGTAGACAGCATGCGTTACATCTATTAAGACACACAGAAACATGAGATAAAGACACAAGATAAAGATTTGAGACATTGAAAAGATCACATATTGGGTTTCCCCATAATCATAAATAGAATCAGTAGTTACCATGGTAACAGTACCATGGTAACAGAATCAGAATGTCACAATAGTAGGTAGAGAAGGGCAGCAAGAATTCGCTTCAAGGTAACAATATAGTAGAGTAGGTAGTGGTAACCCTGGTAACAACAGGTAGACAAGGAGCTGTTTTGAGGGGTTGAAAACTAACGAAGGTTGGGGCAGGAACGAGGGGTGGGGCAGGAAGGGGATGGCGCAGGAAAGAGGATTGGGGCAGGAACGAGGGGTTGGGGCGGGGCTGGGAAAAGAGACGGAGCAGGGACGAGGGGTGGGGCAGGGAAAAGAGACGGAGCAGGGACGAGGGGTGGGGCAGGGAAAAGAGACGGAGCAGGGACGAGGGGTGGGGCAGGAAGGGGATGGGGCAGGGATGAGGGGTGGGCAGGAAGGGGATGGGGCAGGGATGAGGAATGGAGCATAGACGAACCGTTTCACAAAATAACCTACTACTTCGGGACTTAGGGGGTTTAGATTCAGCTAAAGTAGGGGCTAGAAATAAACCTAGAATTGAGCTGAAGACGATTTACACAAGTATTTTGAAAGCTCCTGCTAAAACAAACTTTTCATAACACTTTTAAGTTTTAAACAAATCCCCCTCCACGCTAGAATTGAGGGTTGTTATGGTAACTAACCTGAGATTAAGTTCCTAAATCTAAAGATATTATGGGATGGAATAAGTTTCACTCGTAAGATAGGGTAACCAGCAAGGGAGTATTTTCAGCCCTCAAAACAGCAAGTGAAGACTGATAAGGCGCTAAAGTACATGCAGCATAATTTGAATGCTGAAATACCTTTCTCTTTCTCTTTCTCTTTCTCTTTACGTTCACAGTCGCTAGTGGTCCGGGTTGGGAATGCTTCGAGTCAGGATAAGAATTTTTCTATTGAAATCGTCCAAATGATGAATCATTACAACAATATTTTTCAACATAAAATCGCTGGGGCTTGTGAGATCACAACTTCAAATCTCCCTTCATAGGTCAACACGGTAAATAATCATAAAAACTAAAATACATCAGCTAACATAAAAATAATTGGCCCGGATCACAATAATAACAAAATATTTGGAATATAATAGGATCTCCCGTTTTAATCTTTACCCTGAATAGGGCAGAGTAGAAGTGAGTTACAGTATTCGTGTAGTGAATGTGAGTTACAGTATTCGTGTAGTGTTGAAGTGAATGTTAACTGCAACTTACACGTGACCAACACACAGCCTGGCAAGGCTTGGACGGAACAAGAACAATAGTTTTTTGGTTACTATAGCAACCATAAAACATGCGGTTAAACATTACCACATCTCAGCTTCACAAACACACATAGTGTGGCAGAATTCTGTATCACCATGACAACAGAATACTGTTTCCCCTGGATACTACTACAGATATTCCTAGCAACGTTACGATTGTTATCTGAACTTAATAGAAATTAGATAGACTATGTTTTATCTTAATAAGGACCTCTAGTGGAACATAAAGTGTTCTCTTTATAAAGATAGCATATCCTTATTGGAACGAGGGTATTTTCTTCTTGAAGCTCACTATAAGTTGTGGCTATTAAAAAGTATATACGATAGTTAGAAAGAATCACTTTACTATAGTATAATAGTATTACACTATAGTATAATAGTATTAAAATATTAACTATTACTATAGTATAATAGTATTAAAATGTTAAAATGTACCTCCAAGGAAGCAGGATATTAGTTGGAAGAGTTTGAGAAGAGGGAGTCGTGTAATGAGGACGAGAATGCTGATTAGGAAGGAGAGAATACACGTTACTATCCCTATTATCAGACACACTTTTGTAGCTTCCGTCTTATTCTTCACATGGTACGGCATCTTCCATGGAGCAGGGACTGGGGGTTGTCATGGTAACAAAATAGTGAGGGGTTGTCATGGTAACAAAATAATGAGGGGTTGTCATGGTAACAAAATAGTGAGGGGTTGTCATGGTAAGATAGTGAGGGTTGTAATGGTAAAACAATGAAGGTTGCCATGGTAACAAAATGAGATGTTGTCACAGTAAAAATATATTGACTATTGAGGGGTTGTCATGGGAACATAGTAAATGGTACTAACCGTTATGGCATCTGATAGCGATATCTCCTTCTCTGGCAATCTGTCTCTTCGCGAGGAAATGTTCTTCTTCTTCTTCTTCAGCTGATCTCCTTCTGCGACCTATTGTTGGGGTATAGTAGTAAGTATTGATGTTTACTGTAGTTTAGTTAGTTAGTTAGTATTGATGTTTACTGTTGCAACCAATTTATTATTGGTAATAAATTGTAATCAAATAGCTGCTGAAAATATGTATAAAGTTCTGCCAGAAAGTTTGCCAGGTCTGAGGAAAATTTGGAAAATCTTACCAAGGTTAGAAAACTGGGGGTTCAGAATCTCAATGAGATCGTAAAGCTGGTCGTCATAGCAATATCTCCAGAGTCCCAGGTTTACGAGCGTTATCCTTGAAATTACCATGGTTACATTATGGAAACTTAGGCAACCTAATAAATAGACTATGTATCTAACAAGAATTGAGGGTTGCCATGGTAACTAACCTGTCTCTAGGTTGCTATGGTAACTACCCTGTCTCTAGGTTGCTATGGTAACTAACCTGTCTCTAGGTTGCTATGGTAACTAACCTGTCTCTAGGTTGCTATGGTAACTACCCTGTCTCTAGGTTGCTATGGTAACTAACCTGTCTCTAGGTTGCTATGGTAACTAACCTGTCTCTAGGTTGCTATGGTAACTACCCTGTCTCTAGGTTGCTATGGTAACTAACCTGTCTCTAGGTTGCTATGGTAACTAACCTGTCTCTAGGTTGATATGGTAACTAACCTGTCTCTAGGTTGCTATGGTAACTGACCTGTCTCTAGGTTGCTATGGTAACTAACCTGTCTCTAGGTTGCTAAGGTAACTAACCTGTCTCTAGGTTGCTATGGTATCTGACCTGTCTCTAGGTTGCTATGGTAACTGACCTGTCTCTAGGTTGCTATGGTAACTGACCTGTCTCTAGGTTGCTATGGTAACTAACCTGTCTCTAGGTTGCTATGGTAACTAACCTGTCTCTAGGTTGCTATGGTAACTAACCTGTCTCTAGGTTGCTATGGTAACTAACCTGTCTCTAGGTTGCTATGGTAACTGACCTGTCTCTAGGTTGCTATGGTAACTGACCTGTCTCTAGGTTGCTATGGTAACTAAACTGTCTCTAGGTTGCTATGGTAACTAACCTGTCTCTAGGTTGCTATGGTAACTAACCTGTCTCTAGGTTGCTATGGTAACTAACCTGTCTCTAGGTTGCTATGGTAACTAACCTGTCTCTAGGTTGCTATGGTAACTGACCTGTCTCTAGGTTGCTATGGTAACTAACCTGTCTCTAGGTTGCTATGGTAACTGACCTGTCTCTAGGTTGCTATGGTAACTAACCTGTCTCTAGGTTGCTATGGTAACTGACCTGTCTCTAGGTTGCTATGGTAACTAACCTGTCTCTAGGTTGCTATGGTAACTAACCTGTCTCTAGGTTGCTATGGTAACTAACCTGTCTCTAAGTTGCTATGGTAACTAACCTGTCTCTAGGTTGCTATGGTAACTAACATGTCTCTAGGTTGCTATGGTAACTGACCTGTCTCTAGGTTGCCATGGTAACTTACCTGTCTCTAGGTTGCCATGGTAACTAACCTGTCTCTAGGTTGCTATGGTAACTAACCTGTCTCTAGGTTGCTATGGTAACTAACCTGTCTCTAGGTTGCTATGGTAACTAACCTGTCTCTAGGTTGCTATGGTAACTAACCTGTCTCTAGGTTGCTATGGTAACTAACCTGTCTTTAGGTTGCTATGGTAACTAACCTGTCTCTAGGTTGCTATGGTAACTAACCTGTCTCTAGGTTGCTATGGTAACTGACCTGTCTTTAGGTTGCTATGGTAACTGACCTGTCTCTAGGTTGCTATGGTAACTAACCTGTCTCTAGGTTGCTATGGTAACCAGGGACAAAAGGATTTCGCGGCATGTACGAAATCGCGAAATTTCCCATTCTCCGCGACAAATTTTATGTATAGTTTAATGTATAGCCTGTTAAATTTCGCGGTACCGCGAAATTTGGCCAAAATAATCGCGAAATCCTTTTGTCCCTGATGGTAACTAAACTGTCTCTAGGTTGCTATGGTAACTAACCTGTCTCTAGGTTGCTATGGTAACTAACCTGTCTCTAATGAGCCAGCCCTGTCTTTGTACGGACGCTTGTATCATAGATCTCCAGGGTGTCATGTCAATCTCTCCTCGGGACAGCTCCGGGTAGAGCGTGCCAAACAGAACACAGACTGAGAAGGATGTTAGATTAACATACAGTTACTACCCTGTACTATTTCAATATACTAGTAGTAGCAATAGTAATTATAGGAGTATACTGTATAAGTATTGATGGCTGACTAGTAGCTAAAAGTAAAAAATTCAATAAAATCAAACGGTTTTAAATCAAATTCTAACATGGAAATCAATGAGTTAAATAAGAGCTGAAGAACGAAAGTAGTTGAATAATGAAAGTGAAAGTGAAAGTACCGGAAGAGAGGAACGTCAAGATAATGAGAGAGATTGAGATTCTCTTCTCCTTTCCTTTGTTTCTTTTATCTTTATCATCGTCACGGTCGTCAAACGGCTGAAACAAGATGAATTAATAATTTACTTACTTTTAGTTACTTACTTTAGTTTAGCATCGATAAAAGGATAAAGTTATAAAAACTAACGAGTGAGGGGATAATTGCCATTTCACAGTTGAAGTGTGGTGAATGAAAGCAATACCACCGAGAAGTCGGTTATCAATACACTCTTGTGTTAATTTGCCTTTCATATGAACGACAAAGAGACTTAAAGTCAGCGGTGAAAATTACTTAAAATAATGTACTTAAATCACGCTCAGTCTCACGGTTAATATTTTATAAGCATGTAACACATTGGTTACTATTGGTTACTATTGGTTACTATTGGTTACTATTGGTTACTATTGTAGTAAAGTAGGGATGAAGTAAAATTTGATGGTCTCTGAGTAACTAATAGGGGCCTCCGGGACAGTCTAAGCTAGTAGTAAGTAAGCTATCTAAGCTATCCTTTCAGCCGAGGAGTAGAGAGGGGGGAAAGCGGCTAGGAACGTGAAATCAGATCTGGGAGTGTTAGCGATAGGCTAACAGGGGGGGGAGCCTTACAGCCTAACTAGCTATAGGCTCGGTTCTACCGGCTCAGAGGTAAACGGTTGACTAGCTAAATCAACTTGACTAGCTAAATCAACTTGTATAGCAAGAGTTACTTCAAGGAGCAGGATGAACAAAGGGAAACGACTTAAATTAAGTATAATCGAACTAAGAGTAGGTGCACAAAACTTTGGTCCTTAAAATGACCCGAAACTTTACTCGTCCAAACCACAACTCTTCGAAAAACAAATGCCACGTTCAATAAGACTTCCCCGCGGCCCGCTTACCGCGCTGCTGGTCACGTGGGATCACGTGTAGCGTGTCCGAGGTCACGCGACCAGCACTGCAGTACTCAGGACGGCGGGAAAGTCAGGCCCTGAGGGCCGGTAGTAAATAATAAGACATGTAAAAATGTCTACACCCCCGTTAAAATGAAAGATAAGGAAAGATAAACCTAGAGTGTACTGATAAAATGTGTGAAAGGGTCACGAAATAGAGTTAAGAAACTGTCCCAAACAGGGCTCCCGGACAAAGTTAAAACCGTCCTAAAAACTACTGAAATTATGATCAGGGAGAACACTGCAGTACTCTAGGAAGGCTTGGTTGCTGGCAACAGCTGTACTCGTTGTTATGGCAACAGCTGTACTCGTTGTTATGGTTACTACTGTATTCGTTAATATGGTAACTGATGACATGATTATGGTTCCTATAATAGTCCTCAGTAATAGTCGCTATCGCAACCCAGAAACTACAATACTTACTAACTAACTAAACTACTGTACTAGTTCCAACTTGCTGGAAAACTTACTAACTGGATGGGGGTTGCTATGGCAGCTACTGCATACTGTACTAGTTGCTATGGCTACCACTATAATTCTAGTTACTATGGCTACCATTATAATTCTAGTTTCTATGGCTACCACTATAATTCTAGTTGCTATGACCACCACTATAATTCTAGTTGCTATGGCTACCACTATAATTCTAGTTGCTATGGCTACCACTATAATTCTAGTTGCTATGGCTACCACTATAATTCTAGTTTCTATGGTAACTACTTTATTGGTTGCCATGGTTACTACTACATTTTGATTAATAACTTACTTGCAGCTGAACGTCACCAAGGGTCCCAACCAAATCAAGACACATAATCCATATCTAATATTACTGTGTGGTTACACTACTAAACTACAGTTACATGATCCACAAAATATTAAACGAAACTTGGAAACAAACTACTGATAACTATTGGTAAGATATGTATAATAGTTCTACTGGAATTGCTAATAATGTACACGCGTACAACAGACAACAGGAAAACCTGACCACCTCCAGATTTTAATTGTCACGTGACATTGTGTTGTTACCATAGTAACGTGCCACTTTGCCATGGCTACCCGCCAAGTACCACTCGTGTAGGAGTGATTAGTGAGCTCACAACATTAAATATTATCAAAAATGGTTAAAAAAAGAGAAAAAAAAACTTTGTGAAATGTATAACTTTGTGTGTCAGGTGTTATACAAATTGTTCCATTATTCAATTTACAATCACAACTTTTGGCTATTTTTAAATCGCACGTTTGAAATGAGCAGTTGTAACTAAGCGGGAAGTGTTCCATCGGTTATAAAACTGCCTGCCTGATTGGGGGGGGGGGGGACAGGAGCCATGTGGGAGTTAAAACACCCTGTTATAAAGTATAAACCTCCTAGTTGCTATGGTAACTATTCCTAGGTAGCCCTGTTATAAAGCTGCCTGCCTGACTGTTTAACTTACCAGCCTTCTAGGACGGTAGCCAATGTGCTCGTCTTGTACACACAAGCACAGCTCCTGACACGACATTTCACTACACAGCGTATATTATATATAGTGTATATATTAATTATTATTACTAGTGTACTACACTATATTATATAGTACACACTTCATACTAGCGCACAAACCCGCTGCCAATAAATAAACTAAACGTAAGCAAACTAACTAACAGTAACTAACAAATATTGTTACCACGACAACCAGGTAGTTACCACGGCAAACAGGTATTACATTCCTTAAATAACAATATGCAGAGGAATTAATATAACGTACATTACACAGGAGTAGCTATGGAACATTAGTAAAGGTACACTGAGAGGGACAGAACACTAACACACTAACAGAATACGAATAGAACTAGTGTTTACTACTGTTTTATTGGAATTTAGAGAATTCATCAACCGTGACCGAGTGATGACAGTTAGCATGTTTAGTCATGTTAACAGCAGCAGACAGTGTTGCCATGGTAACATCATAAGGGCCGGGACACGATACCTCATCACTTAAACAAGATCCGATAAAATAGAAAAGATTAGAATAGTAACATGACACTTTCTTTGTTATGGTAAAATGTGGTGCAGAAAAATGTGGAGTGATGGTGACTAATCAATTAATTTCTCCGCATTGTGATTAATTACATTAATCAACTTGTAATTAGTCTTCCGGAGGAATTGGTTAAAACTTGGAACCAGAAGTGAGCTAATGTGACAATTATATTATGACCATTATAACACAGATTGTCACAGAACATAGATATTGTAACCATGGCAACACGGACTGTCACAGAACATAGATATTGTAACTATGGCAACACAGACTGTAACCACGACAGCAAAAACTTCCGAGCAACACAACAACATTAAACATTAAATATAAACTAGAAGTATAGCGACTAACGAGGGAGAGTAACAGTTAAACTGATATTGAGAAGGAGAAGACACACATCTCACACTAGCAACACAGGACACTGTACTGCAGGGTTACCAGGGTTACACAGGACACTGCTAGGATACAAGGTACTGATAGCTATGTGGCCTCATCCCCCTCAAACCGACCGTTTAAAACTATCAACACTACAAATATAGAGCAGGCAGGTTGCAGAGTGACACTACAAATATGTTCCATTTGATGTTATATTTACTTTTAGTACACACTGCACCTGAGAGAGCTAACCACTCCGAATATTGATTAAATTTAAATATATTTGAAATTATTTAAAGATTAATAGCATTTATTTTATTTTTTACATCTATTATGCAGGGCTCATGTAAACTCCAGGGCCTAAATCTCACTAAAATTAGTAATAGATAGACAGACTTGATCAGAACGCAATAATATTGGTGGCTTACGCCGCGCGAGGTTAAATACGTTTCATTTGTTAATAAGCCTGTGTGCTTTCGCGTTGGATAAGTTTTGACGTTGTCAAGACTGGTCACTGGGGTTTGGAGATGCTACAATCTCATGGAGTGGAAACCGAAAATTAGTTCCCTGATAAAGTATGAAAGTGTTTGCTGTCTCCAGCTGAACAGTGTTAGGACCTGTACAAGTAAGTGTATAGTGTACAATGTACAATTTACAATGTACAATGTACACTGTAATTTTAGTACGTGTAGAACTTGAGTCCAGGTAGCGCACTTTAGTTCGACAGAGTTGAGAGTCGAACCTTAGGGTTTGTCGAACTAGACTCTACAATACGTATCGAACTAGAGTGCGTGTCGAACTTGAGTACGTGTACCCAATGTACACAGTGTATACAGATTACAGTGTACACATCACTTGAAGGTAATAACAGCTTTTAGAAGTGAATATGATCCAACCCCCTCCTCCCCACCAACACCTCCACCACCGACTTTTCCCCTTACTTTCACTTCCGGACTGGAGATGAACATTCTTAGCTCATTACAGAAGACTCGATCAGGTGGAGTGACCTAACAAGGAGGTGTCCATATCAGGAGATGTGTTGTGACATTACGTTACCAAACAGCCTGCTGATACGGCTCTACAATTAGCCCCCACCACGTGTCACACAGGGAGGACGGATCTGAGTCACATGTGGTGACACGTGCTAAATTAAGAGGGTTGCTATTGGTTACATGTGTGTCACGTGATGTGGAGTGTAATATTGTTAAGGTAACTGGATACGTTACTGGCGAGTGTGTTGTTACACGCTCATCAGAGAGCCATCTCTTCAACACTACGACTCAGAACAACTTCCTTAGTGAACGTTATATTCTAGTTCTAATGTACCGTCACAATAGTGACTTTAATATATATTATATATTATCATATTAGTACAGAGGTTCCTTTAGTGGCAATTTAATGGAACTTTACAAAATCTATAATGAACAACTCGAACTTTAGTACAGGTTGCTCACTGAAACCACACGTTCATACACGGAGCCGGTAGGCGCTCAGAGATGGCAATCCCCTAAGAGATTTGTTGGAAACTTTCCTCCTTGTATTTGTCAAATGAACACAGTGTACCATGATTAGAATGATAAGTTATTTTTAAAATGAACAACTTTATGTTATTTATTGCATCGTCATAATATTCACATAATATGTTGAATAATGAATATATTCACATATAACTGTAACCTAGTTACTGTTACCATGGTAACTAATATAACTGCTTACATTATAATAAGCGTCCTCTGAATTCTCGGTTATCTTCGATAGAACACGTTCTCGGTTTTCAGATGATTTGTGAAATTTCTGTAACGTTTTAACATGTACACACAACACACAAAAGAAGAGCTCTGAACCAACCTTTCAGTTTATTAGTTTTCTAATTTAGTTACTGCTCGAGTAACTAAATGGCAAATGTGCAGCAGAGTAACTAGTAGTTAGTAGTGACTAACTGTGTAGAGGGGTTGGCTCAGAGACGGTTACATTGAAAGAAGAACACAAATAGTTAGTAGAAGTATATACTAGTAACCCTAGTAACCATGGTAACTAGTATAGAGTAATAGTTAGTAGTAGTAAAGATGGTACAAATAGTAGGGAGAACCCAACACAGATAAAAGGAATAAAAAATGCTTCAGATTTAGAGTTCTTTTTGCTATGGTTATGAAGTAATATATAATATATATTGTATAATGTATTTCATTCAGTTCAAGTTAACGAACTTTATCTAGAGCTTATGCTCTTACTGCAAGATTTTGTGGTTAGATTTCGCTCTTGAGGCCTGGTTTTAGGTAAGATTTGATCTTACTGCAAAGTTTTTGAGTATTTTTGAGTCAGGTTTGAGTATTTTTGAGTCAGGTTTGCCCTTTTTGCAATGATTTAGACCTTGGTTTTGTTCAGGATGTCATGCTATTTATTGCTCTGAGGCCAGGTTTTAAGAGTTAATTTAATTGCAATGTTTCACAATGTTACAAATGTTTTAATTTCAAACTTTACCAGATCAACCTATTATTATATCAGTAAGTAACCTAGTAACAGTAACTGTTACCATGGTAACTAGTATTATTATATCATTATTACATAAATATAATATAATGTTACCTTGGGAGGAGCTTTGTATTGGACGATCGGGTCAAATGTGTGCATCTGCATCTCACTGTCACCTGGAACTTTCTTATATTCCATTCTAGTCCTAACATGTATAATATGTTATTATCTTATTAACAATAATATCTAGTAAATATAACAACAATATTGAGTAAACATTATTACGTGAATAACAATTGGGACAATAATATCAAGTAAATATACCAACGAAATAATTCAACTAACAAATCAACTAATCAAATTTTGTAAATTCGGTTTAACTTTAAAGCAGTACAATTGAGTAGGCACGATTCATACAAAGAGTAGAAACAAAGATTATTACAAAGGAGCAAAGGACCTACGATGAGTAGAAAGATGATACCTACTCTCTTGCAGCCAGGGAGCAGCAAGAGAGTAGAAAGATGAGACCTACTCTCTTGCAGCCAGGGAGCAGGTTGCAAGAGAGAGGAGAGTAGATAGAAAGGAGGGCAGTATATATATAAGAAGCAGAGTGTACACGATAATATAGCGTGTAGTTCGCAAGCAGCCATTAGAGCTGTAATGGAGAGAAGTAAACATACGCGGCACAGCAAAATACCACGGAGCTGAGCAAGTAGGCAGTGAAATATGCGTGTTTACACAACTATTACACGCAGGAAGGCAGTGAGGTGATTTGTCATAGGTCACCAGGGCGGGCGAGTCACGTGGGGTGATGACGTCACGTGGTGTGATGACATCACGTGGTGTGATGACGTCACGTGTTGTGATGACTGATGACGTCACGGTAGAGGCAATGAAAGAAAAGCAAAATTTATTAATGAGTAGCGGAGAAATGACCCAAAAAGGACTGATTAATGAGACTCCGGGAAACATGCAAAGCAATAGAGAGAGAGAGAGAGAGAGAGAGAGAGAGAGAGAGAGAGAGAGAGAGAGAGAGAGAGAGAGAGAGAGATAGATAGATAGAGAGAGAGAGAGAGAGAGAGAGAGAGAGAGAGAGAGAGAGAGAGGAGAGAGAGAGAGAGAGAGAGAGAGAGAGAGAGAGAGAGAGAGAGAGAGAGAGAGAGAGAGAGAGAGAGAGAGAGAGAGATAGATAGATAGAGAGAGAGAGAGAGAGAGAGAGAGAGAGAGAGAGAGAGAGAGAGGGAGAGAGAGAGAGAGAGAGAGAGAGAGAGAGGGAGAGAGAGAGAGAGAGAGAGAGAGAGAGAGAGAGAGAGAGAGAGAGAGAGAGAGAGAGAGAGAGAGAGAGAGAGAGAGAGAGAGAGAGAGAGAGAGAGAGAGAGAGAGAGAGAGAGAGAGAGAGAGAGAGAGAGAGAGAGAGAGAGAGAGAGAGAGAGAGAGAGAGAGGGAGAGAGAGAGAGAGAGAGGAGAGAGAGAGAGGAGAGAGAGAGAGAGAGAGAGAGGAGAGAGAGAGAGAGAGTGAGAGCGAGAGAGGAGAGAGGAGAGAGAGAGAGAGAGAGAGAGAGAGTGTATTTACTAGTACTATTGTAATGATGCTGTGATGTGCGGTAGTATCAGCAGTGTTCTGAAGGTATCCACAATCAGACATTACACAGCACAGACATTGAAATATCAATACTGTGACAGGTATATGGGAACCTGTTGATCGTCTGATTTTGAGAAAGTCATTGACAGGGTAATTAAGATAAGGTGGTTGATAATTTAACTTGTTTAAATAAATACCCCCCCCCCCCCCCCCCCCCCCCCCCCCCCCCCCCCCCCCCACCCCCCCCCCCCCCCCCCCCCCCCCCCCCCCCCCCCCCCCCCCCCCCCCCCCCCCCCCCCCCCCCTTAAATAAATACAGTGTAGTAAACTGTTAACCACTGTAATCAGGCTGTTACATACGAGAAAATCATTGAAATAAAACCGTTAAATGAAACATTCGGATGAACCTTAGATGATGTAATATTTTATGGTGGACCCGGACGAACTTTCTAACTCAAATCAAATCATCGTTGCACAACTGATAAGGCTAACGTAGGGATCAAGTCTAGTCAGTTATTACGGCAAGATGGGACACAGACGAAGGACAGAGAACTCGAAATACCCTTGCAGTTACAGCCCGTTACACTAGTTACAGCCCGTTACCCTAGTTACACTCAGTAACCATAGTGACCTCGTTACACTCAACTCTTGAGTCGGATCATTTCCCAATGCGGGACGGGCATTATAAACAAAGAAAGAGCTGTGGTAATCGTATTTCATTAAACATGGAGTATCTAATATCACAATGTAATATCAGGTACACAATGTAATGAGTTAATGAAGGAAAACAGTAAACTAGCCGAGTAATGAGAGCTACCGGACAACTGAACCCAATTAATAAGGAATGTAATGAGCATAAAACAGTTACACTACTCCACCATATCTAGTGGGACATAGTGGGGCTTAGTGAGACTGGGACACAGAGGGGCTCCGTATAGTGGGGCTTAGTGGGACTGGGACACAGAGGGGCTCCGTACAGTGGGACTTAGTGGGACTGGGACACAGAGGGACTCCGTACAGTGGGGCTTAGTGGGACTGGGACACAGAGGGGCTCCGTATAGTGGGGCTTAGTGGGACTGGGACACAGAGGGGCTCCGTACAGTGGGACTTAGTGGGACTGGGACACAGAGGGACTCCGTACAGTGGGGCTTAGTGGGACTGGGACACAGAGGGGCTCCGTACAGCGGGGCTTAGTGGGACTGGGGCACAGAGGGCTCCGTACAGTGGGGCTTAGTGGGACTGGGACACAGAGGGACTCCGTATAGTGGGGCTTAGTGGGACTGGGACACAGAGGGACTCCGTATAGTGGGGCTTAGTAGGACTGGGACACAGAGGGGCTCCGTACAGAGGGGCTTAGTGGGACTGGGACACAGAGGGGCTCCGTACAGTGGGGCTTAGTGGGACTGGGACACAGAGGAGCTCCGTATAGTGGGGCTTAGTGGGACTGGGACACAGAGGGACTCCGTACAGAGGGACTTAGTGGGACTGGGACACAGAGGGACTCCGTATAGTGGGGCTTAGTAGGACTGGGACACAGAGGGGCTCCGTACAGAGGGGCTTAGTGGGACTGGGACACAGAGGGGCTCCGTACAGAGGGGCTTAGTGGGACTGGGACACAGAGGGACTCCGTATAGTGGGGCTTAGTAGGACTGGGACACAGAGGGGCTCCGTACAGAGGGGCTTAGTGGGACTGGGACACAGAGGGGCTCCGTACAGTGGGGCTTAGTGGGACTGGGACACAGAGGAGCTCCGTACAGAGGGGCTTAGTGGGACTGGGACACAGAGGGACTCCGTATAGTGGGGCTTAGTAGGACTGGGACACAGAGGGGCTCCGTACAGAGGGGCTTAGTGGGACTGGGACACAGAGGGGCTCCGTACAGAGGGGCTTAGTGGGACTGGGACACAGAGGGACTCCGTATAGTGGGGCTTAGTAGGACTGGGACACAGAGGGGCTCCGTACAGAGGGGCTTAGTGGGACTGGGACACAGAGGGGCTCCGTACAGAGGGGCTTAGTAGGACTGGGACACAGAGGGGCTCCGTACAGTGGGGCTTAGTGGGACTGGGACACAGAGGGACTCCGTATAGTGGGGCTTAGTAGGACTGGGACACAGAGGGGCTCCGTACAGTGGGGCTTAGTGGGACTGGGACACAGAGGGGCTCCGTACAGTGGGGCTTAGTGGGACTGGGACACAGAGGGACTCCGTACAGTGGGGCTTAGTGGGACTGGGACACAGAGGGGCTCCGTACAGCGGGGCTTAGTGGGACTGGGACACAGAGGGGCTCCGTACAGAGGGGCTTAGTGGGACTGGGACACAGAGGGACTCCGTACAGTGGGGCTTAGTGGGACTGGGACACAGAGGGGCTCCGTACAGAGGGGCTTAGTAGGACTGGGACACAGAGGGGCTCCGTATAGTGGGGCTTAGTGGGACTGGGACACAGAGGGGCTCCGTACAGTGGGGCTTAGTGGGACTGGGACACAGAGGGGCTCCGTACAGTGGGGCTTAGTGGGACTGGGACACAGAGGGGCTCCGTACAGAGGGGCTTAGTGGGACTGGGACACAGAGGGGCTTAGTGGGACTGGGACACAGAGGGACTCCGTATAGTGGGGCTTAGTGGGACTGGAACACAGAGGGACTCCGTATAGTGGGGCTTAGTGGGACTGGAACACAGAGGGACTCCGTATAGTGGGGCTTAGTGGGACTGGGACACAGAGGAGCTCAGTTTAAAAAACCATCACACAAAGTATAACTGAGTATCAAAAGAGCTACAAACGAGACAAAGCAAACGCGAAACTAAAACGAAAAGAACGAGGCGCTCAATGGAATGTGTAACCATTTGAATTGTGTAGAGTCACGCGGGACCTGGCTACGAGCAGCACCAGGTGTACTGTTACACTCCGCACAACACCTGGACTTAGTGTAGTGTAGTGGGGAGCGAGTTGGCTAGTAACCACAAGCACTGGAGCGGAGGGAGATAATACGACACAAACGGAATTCATTGGTACAGGGCCAGGCCACTCGAATGATGTGAGGGGGGCGTGAGTGGGGGGGGGGGGGGGCGGGGGCATGAGGGGAGGGGGCGTGAGGGGGGGGGGGGCGGGAGCGTGAGTGCGTCACCCTGACCACCTGGAATAGGGTCCTGCAAGTGACGAACATCATACATGTGAAGTATCTCTACAGAGAGATTATTTCATCTGATCAACAAGGAAGACAAAGAGAGCTCCGCCAGTAGGAATAGAAATGATGTCAGCTGAGTCAGGTGACTAGTGTCGTGTAATAATATCGTTAGTGTCTGAATGTAGGAGTGTGATCTAATAGCTTTAGTGACTCAGTGTGTCATGTGTGATGTGTGATCTAATAGCTTTAGTGTCTGAGTGTGTGATACCTTAATAGCCGGCCTGGCTCTCTGAGTGTGTGTGTGTGTACAGGGCTATTGTGTAGAACCTCACTACTGACCAGGTAATTACACTTTGAGAGCACATCTTACATTGTAACTTTGTAATATGATTAGTGTTACCCTTGTAGTGGTGTAACGGCTGGAGCCCCCTGATTAGTGTTACCCTTGTAGTGGTGTAACGGCTGGAGCCCCCTGATTAGTGTTACCCTTGTAGTGGTGTAACGGCTGGA